CATATTATGAACAAATGTGCTTTTGCGGTATTTTAAGTTGCTGTATAATCAAGTTTGCCGATATCAACCTACCGGAATGCCAGTGTAATAGACCTCGCCACAGCATACATGGAATGTAGAACATTAAAGCTTCAAGTGCCAAAACAAATGGCACCCATTGATAGTAACTGAGTTGCTTCGGCCTCAAATTATAAGCATATTAAATAAAGTTGATACGAAAGTGAAAAGAAAACATATGTAAAAGTCCAGGTGCATAACGAGGAGGAAACGTCTTTGGTTAAGATTCATCTTTTTAAAAACATTTGAAATCAAAAACGGTTTAACCGCAACTTTCGATCGCATCAAGTAGCCATTGCGATTTTGCGCAAATCAAAAGAAACGTGGAGAAGTTGTATCAAAAATAAATTTTATTTACCTTATTCCGTCGTCTTTTGGAAGTGCTGTAGTTAATGGCAAAAAGTATGTACTTTCAACCCAACAATAATTTTCTGTGTACTGTTCCCACGCATCGGTAAACTGCGGCGGTACCCAGCATTGAATCGGATAACCTTAAAATTTTATGATAAAAACAAAAAAATATTTTCTTTTTGTTCAAACATTGCATGGCAATTTTTAAGAAGCCACACGATCAATTGTTGCAGCTCTAATTACACTCAAAAGCAGTTTTTTATTGTTTTGGGTGAAAACTGATAGCCACTTTGTGTTAGCACCAAAAAAAGCATAGTTTTTTCTGTCTTTCCTGATTTTTTATCACTACCGCTGCTTCTTAAAAAGTGGCCATACTGTTGGTGATCACTAAAGACGTATTAGCCATATGACCGCACAGTTGTTGCAGCAGTCCGAAAATAGGCAAACAGCTACAGCTGCCCCAGCAGGCAGACAGATAGAGTTAAAACGATAAATTACTGTATTGAATCATCAAAGCAAGTGCTCTTTGTACGCCGTTTTCATTATTTATTTTTCTACAGTTCATCATTAGCTACCCTTCAATCCGACTCTTTTATTAGTATTCGTTTTGCACTGTCATTACAGTTATAGGTAGAACGCATGTTAATTAACTACTGTCTCTTATAAGAAATGACTTACAAAAACATCAGCAGAAAGCGAAAAGAGTTTAAGTTTAAAAATCAGCTGCAAATGACAGGTAAAAGTAAATAAGAAGCAAAAAAGAAAAAACGCTAGTATCCTCACCGACATATTGCTTCGCCGAAACAATAATAGCAAAAGCAAAAATGATAGCCGAAGTGTAATGGTAATTTAATTTATCAACGAAATCATCGTCAACACGCGGATGAAGACCTTTGAATATTGCCGCCAAGTAATATAACAGCATGTCTTTCTATGAAAAAAGGAAATGCTCTATAAAAAATCGTTCCGGTTATGCTGTTTTTTGCTACATTTAACAGGCATTACAAAACCTGTACGATGTTCAAGCGTGACATCAGATTAAAAACACTTGAAAATACAGTTGATATTACTAAATCAGAAAAAAACCTTTTTTTTCCCAAAAAAGCTATTAACTCACCTTCCGTCTTTATTCCCACTATTTTTACTATTATTACTAGTATTACTGCCGTTCTGGCGGTTAAAAATGTCAATTCTGATGTTGATGATAATGACGATGATTGTAGTGGAGATGCACTTTGTTGGCGTGGAGTCGGCCGATTATATGAATCACAAATCTATATGCTGTTTTGGTAGTCGTTTGACCAGCTACTACTTTCGTCATTTGTTCTTTCAGCTTTCTGCATTTTTCTTCCACTGCGCTTTGCTTCAAAACATTTATAACCCGATTAAAACAGGTGGGGAAACTGTGGTCAGCACTTGAAATTTATAACACTTCTTGTAGCAAAAAAATATGTATTAAATAAATATAAACTATGAACGAATACGAAAAAATTTAAGAACAAGAAAAGTAACAATTGGCATGTTATTGAAAAGAAAATAGCAACTAAAAGACAAAAGAACAAAAAAAAACTAGAATAAATCGAGAAAAATGCTTTTTGAGAGCAAGAGAATATGCATATTTAAAACAATCCAAAAAAACAGCAGTTCTCAACATTTTGATATTGTTTAGCTCTTACTTATACGTGAGGTGATTAAGATGTCATCGACGTACTTATAACTATCTAGGAACTTAGAAAACCCCACGTTTGGTTCTTGTTTTTTTCAAAAAATCCGCTCTTGCTCTCATACAGAGCACAACTTTCGCCTCAAACGGAACTCGCAAGCACCGCTTATACCTTTAAAATCCCAGAGAGACTCTAATAGGCTACTGCATATCCAAGTGATTTTCCGACATTCTTTACTCAGCACTTCACCGATTACAATTTGTGAAGCTTACCAGCTTTCACTCATTCTCTACGACACACTCTAACCAAAGATCGTAAAGAAAAGAATGTAAAAAACTAACGCCAAAAATCTCTACTTTCTCTCAAATGCTAACCAGCTAGTTGCCGATGATTAAACATGAACTCAGTCTCGTGTCGACAATCTACCTTTGTTGCGGCAGTGAGCGAAGTCTGAGTATCAGGTGAAACTTAAACCCACCAAATATACCTTTCCTTCTCACATCTCCTCCAGAGCGAGCTACATAGAAGCCTTTCTCACTACCCTTCAATCCACAATTTATGAAGTTCATTAGCTTCCTGGCGTCCTCAGGTACAGCTCTTCCAACTCCTTGAAAGTTTTGGAAAGTGACTGCCTTTTAACAGCTACACATTTCGGCAAAAACAGCGGTAGGATTAGTAGTAAAATCTCCTCGCCTTTCTGCTTTAAACACTCTTGTGTTCCAGTCGGCCACCCAGCTTAATAAACCCAATAAAACAATACAACTTTTCTTGCCATTCTGATTGGCCGTATCATTTAAAAAAGCTGGAAACAGTTAAAAAAGCAAACTAAAGTAAAATAAACAAAAGAGCATCAACAAATGGGAGATTATAGTCTAGAGGTTGAGATTCCTCCCTAAAATTTCATAATACCATATCAAATGGTGCAAACAGCTTAAATTTTTTTGTCTGCGCTTTCAAGAACACAAATTTGGTGTAGTAAAAGAAACAGTGAATCAGTTTTTAGTAAGAGAGTAAAACAGGTGGGGAACAAATGACGGCTACATGCAAAAATGAAATAACCAATTAAACTGTAAATCAACTTGACAAATAAATCAGTGAATGACCGACTGATGATGAGTATAGTGTTGTTTATTTGAAATGCCTAAAAGTACTAATAAAAAAAAGCTTTTTAAAATTTTGGCATTAATTTATTTCCGATTTATTTTTTTTTTTGTCTCTTCGTCTTCCTCTCACTTCCGTATCCCAAGTTACTCTCAAACTCCAATGCGCATTTGATGTCCAAAAATATGATGTTTGCCTCATGAAAGAGCAAAAAAGAAAATATGAAAAAAAGTATTATTTTTATTTGGTATTTTGTATGCTTGATCAAGGGAAACAGAAATTGCAAAAAATTACCATTTTTAGGTTGACTTCAAGCAATTGAAAATGGAGAAATATGTATATACTTCTCCTTTTTTTATTCATTCGATACCTTTAAAAGAAAAAAAAAAGAACAGAGGATAAAATGGCGCTAGAAGTAAATAACATAAATTTTCTCCCATCTCTTTCTTTCGCTGCTACACAGATCATCTAGTGATTTCAAAAGGTTTGTATATTATATTCTCTCTTTCTGTCTCTCTCTCCCCTCCTCTCTCTCTCTCTCTCTCTCTCTCTCTCTCTCTATATAT